GCCCCCAACACAACCAGCCAACAAACCTGAAGGTGACACTAACAGGAGACGAAACACTTCAGCTTCAAGCATCAACAGCAGGTGTTCTAATCAAACCAGGAGGAGCTCGCCTCACATCACCAACTGACACCAGAACCACAAACAGGCAAAAAATGAAGACAAACCTCCGTTAAATGACCATAAAACAGTGACAAACCATAGTCACTAGATGCTAACCGAGTCCACATTTAAACACCATCTGTCACCACCGGCGCAAATGAAGACAAACACCAGATATAAATCCCAGACTAACACACCAAAGAAAACTGGAATTACCCTCCAAATCATCCACAAATAGAGCTCGGATTGTTCGCAGGACAACGAAATCCTTCTTATCAAATGTTCAGACCTTCACGGAGGCCTTGAGGCTGCAGAGTCATATCCTACAAAAATAAATGGAATTCTTTTTCAGTGTGTAACCAGGTCAAACAACAACCCCGACGAAACTCACAGACTGCAGCAAACGAATACAAAACTAACACAAACGACATAAAAGCACCATTATCCAATAAAATGACCACAAATGGACATAAAACACCTGGAAACTGACATACGATGACGGGAATGTGAGACAACCGCAAACTTACATAGAAAACTGCAAAATGAATGAAACCGAACACAAAGTGACACAAACAAACATCAAAATGACATAAAATGACGACAAACTTGCACAAAACAACACAGACTGACATTAAAGTAGCACAACGTGACATAAAATGTCTACGAAGGTGGAGAAAGTCAACATGACTGCAAACAAATACAACAAGAAAACAAAGCAACATAAAACAACAACAAAACTAAACTAAACAAACACAAAACAACATCATAAAACCACAAACTGACAAAAACCAAAGAAAAAAAATGAATTAAAATGATTACGAGCAACTTAAAACAAACACAAAACGTAACAAAAGCACAAACTGACATAAAATGAAAAGGAAACACAACTCGACATCAAATGACCACAAAATAACCGAAACACTTGAATCTAACATGAAACCATTGAGGCCAGATTTGAATATCATTCGTCAGCGCCGCAGACAGATGAGTGAACAGATGTATTTAGATCATGATAAGTGGAATTACCCTCCAACCGAACAGAGCTCGGATTGTTTTCAGGACAACAAATTCCTTTACCAGAAGCCTGCAGCGTTACAAACAAAAGTAAAAAAGCCAAAAATATCCACCAACTATGTCCTTATTCCTCCTCCACTGTGACTTCAGGCCAAACAACGACTCCGCTAAAACTCAAAAAGAGACGAACCGAAAACAGACGAAAAACAGACACCAACGGCGTAACAGCACCGCGATGCGACCCGACAACCACGATACCAGACAGAACAGCCACAAATCCATACGACCACAAAACGACCACAAACCGCCGTAAAACCAACACAAAACTACAAACCAGGATGAACTGATCAAAATCCAACATCAAATTACTGCAAAACGTCTACAAAGTGACATTAAGGGAACAAAAACAAACTACAATCTGACATACAAACTGCAAACTGACATAAGATGACGACTAAAAACAACTGACAACACAACAGGTGACAGAAGCTGACAACAAACTAAATGACAGGAAAATTCAAAGACCTACAAAGACTGAAAACCAACATAAAACGTCTACAAAGTGACACAAAATTAGCACAAATCAATAAAAGAGACGACACACTGACATGAGATGACTACAAACCACATAAAACACTACAGATGACCTGAACAGACGACAAAGTGACATAAAGAGACTACAAATTTATTCCTTTTCATTATGTACAAACCGCACAGTTAGCGGCACAATCAACAGAATAAATACTTGGAATATTGTTGGAACACCAGTTTTTAATATGCAGTTGTTAAACTTTGGTCCTCGGTTCCTCCTTAGCAGAACTTCAGGGTCCAAGAAACCAAAGCAGCTGTCAGTTTGTGGTCTGTTAGAACCCAAGAGAACCAGGTTCAACGCCGGGTCGGTCGAACGCAGGTCGAGTTTCCGTCCAGATTTAACTCCAGAAAAAAACGGGTCCATCCAGTCCTGCGGTGCGAGCTGATTGGTCGTCGGACAGAACGCAGGAGAGCAAAACAGGAAGCAGTGAAGTCTGCCGAGCTCACTGGCTGCAGCGCTGAGTTTCTATTGGCTGGAGAACTTCTACAGTGATGAGGCCCCGCCCACTCCCCCTCACCACCACGGCAACACTTCCTGTCTGGAGTCTGGAGAGGAGCGATGGAGACAGAGGAGGTGGTTCTGTGCTGGTCTGGTGTCTGGTCCAGTCTGTAGTAAACCTGCTCTGTGTCCCGTGCTCAGTGTTTACGACGTTTATCCTGTTCTGTGTACATGAACGTCTGAGCTCAGTCCGACCGTCGGCCGCCGTGTTTATCTCTCCGTGCAGCGAGGGCTCTTGGCCAGCTGAGTCAGCAGACGAGCACATCTTTTATAATCTGCAGAGGAGCACAACAACACACAGAGTTAATCTGCAGCAGACAACAGCAGGTCACACAGTCCAGGATGTGCTGAACCTGAGCAGCAGGAACTCTTGGAGCTATGATCTACGTTCGTCCTGCTCAGGTTCACACAAACCCAGCGTCTGGCATCTTTTGTGGTTATTTTGTGTGTCTTTGTGATTGTTTGTTTTTTGGGACATCTACAGACATTCATGGAGCACACCAAACATCTGGACTCCATGTGAGCCCAACACATTGATCTCCATCTGACCAGAGGATGTTCTCCAGCATCCATCAGGCTTCTGTTCATGTTCTCTGGTGAACTTTGATGTGGAAGTTTAGCTGTGAGCAGCAGNGACATAAAGAAACTACAAACCGACATAAAGAAACTACAAACCGACATAAAGAAACTACAAACCAATATAAAATGAGTACAAATTGATAAAAGACTACAAACCATCACAAAGAAACTGCAAATCGGAATAAAGAGACTACAAACTGACATGAGATGACTATGAATGACGTAAAACACTACAGAAGACCTGAATAGACTACAAACTGACATAAAAACACTGTTCCTCCAGGTGTGTGTTATTCCTACAACAGTTACCGTAGTAACTATAGGAATAACACACACTTTTTAAAATCAGAAATCGCCACAAAAGAAGAAAAAAAGAGCTCAGCCCCGTAAAGTGCATTGAAAGTCCAGAATACAGGAAACAGCGGTAAGAAGCCGTGGATGTGCTGTGACATAACTTGGCCAACCTGCAGGCCAACTCGTAACCGCCAGCTGGAGGTGAGCGTCAACCACAGAGGAAATATTCACTTCAAACACGAAGCTGTGCAGCGGCAGCCAAAGTCAACAGAACAGCGATGTGGTTCACATCGTCACAGCCGCCGGCGCCTGGCTTCACACGGGTTCAGCTCACTGGACAGCCGACGGGTCCGAGGGCTAAAACAGAGATTCTCAAACCTGGACAAGGAACAAAACTTCCTCAAAGCAACGGAAGTCATCACTGGCTCCAAAGTGACCAAGAAGCAGCAGACAAATGAACACCGAGATGGAAAGAGACGGACACACAACCGACATGAAACAGCTACAAAACAGACAGAAAAATGAACAAAGATGAAGCACAAATACAAACAATAAAAAACGCTGAAACCAACGTACAGATATCACAATGAAAACAACATTAGCGCATGACATGCTGACATAGAAGACTAAAAACTTATACAACCAGCTACAAACACACACAAAATGGCATCAAACCAACATAAGAAGACCACTAATGGCATCTAAAAACTACACATGGATGAAAAGACTACAAACCTACAAAAAAGACTACAAACTGACATAAGAAGACGACAGATGGCATTTAGAGACTACAACACAAAAAACTACAAACTTAACAACAAACAACATGAAGACATTACAAAAGACTACAAACTGACATAAAATGACAGTGACTGCAAAAATTAATGAAAAAACAGAACTTGACTACAAACGACATAAAATCGTCCCAAACTGACATAAAACAACTTTAAAATGACATCCAACCCATCCAACACCCCCAACACAACCAACACCACCAACACA